CCCAGTAAGCTACACGGAAGCGTGAACCAATATGGATACAGATCGTTTTGGTGAGTTGCTATGAAATCAGAGTTGGAATCTATGTATTCTAATTAAATCTGGGATCTTGTAGAACTTTCTAGTAGGGTGATACCTATGAAAGGTGAGTTAATCTGCAAAAAGATACCAGAAGATTTCTTAGTAATTAAATCACGAGTGTATAAGAGAATGTCATTATTTTTCCTAATTCTATATATATTGATGACATCCTACTCATTTAGAATGATATGGAAAGTTTTGTCATTAGTAAAGAGGTAGTTGTTCAATTATTTTGAAATGAAGGATTTTAAAGATGTAAGCTATATTCCTAGGATCAAGCTTTTGCAAGATCAGGTTAAAAGGAAAATAAGCTTATCTTAATAATCTTATATTGATAAAGTTTTGACCATGTTTGGTATGCATAACTCAAAGAAGGAGTTCTTACTTTATTGATATGGATTGCTCTCTCTAGTAAGTAGTTTTCCAAGACTAGCAGAGGAGATTGAGCAAATGAGACTGGAACTATATGCTTTGGCATATTGGAGTCTTATATATGCCATGGTTTATACCAAACAGGACATCCACTACATTGTAAGGATAGTCAGAAGATATCAATCCAATCCTGGACTTGATAACTGGCCTGTTGTGAAAAATATCATTAAGTACCTAAGGAGAACCAATGATCTCATACTCATTTATAGATGTGATGATATGGTCCTAGTCAGGTATGCTAGTTCTGATTTTCAATCAGAAATAGATACTATGAGGTTCATGACTTAGTGTATGTTTACTCAATGGAAGGGAAATCAGTTAGTAGATTGTTAAGCAAATTTCAACTGCTGACTCAAACCTGAAGGTGAAGTACATTGCAGCCTTAAAGGCGGCAAAGGAAGCCTTTTAGTTTGATCTCACTGATTTAGAGGTTGTGGAGCATACTAGCCTGCCTATCGAGCTATATTGTGACAATAGTGCAGAAGTTGTCCAAACAAATGACCTAAGGTTTCATAGAGGAACAAGGTACACTGAGAGGAAAGTATCATGTCCTACATGATATTTTCTGTTCTCTGTAATGGAGTCCCAGTAGGTTTTTTTCCAGCTTCAAAAGGCCTTAGACAAGGGTGCCCTCTATCACCCTTACTGTTTTCTTTTGTTACTGAGTATTTTTCTACTATGATAACAAATGATATTGGGAACGGAAAGATTAAGCTGTGCAAAGGTGTGACCAAAATTGGGATGAACATCTCTCGTGCCTTTTATGCAGATGATTTGTTCATGGTAGTTAAAGCTGAAGTGTCTACTATGAAAGCTATTGAAGGAGTGTTTAATTCATTCAAGGAGGTCACTGGGCTGCAAGTTAATAAGGGTAAGAGTTCTATTATATTTTCTAAGGCTGTAAGAGGTAGAAGAAGGTTAGCTAATATTCTGCAATTTCAAGTGGAAAAGTTTCCTTTCAAATACCTTGGGTTACCTCTATCTAATAATATACTAAAGACTGGAGATTATAGGCCATTGATTGATAAGATGGATGCTAGGTTGAGACACTGGAACACAATTAATCTGTCTTTAGCAGGTAGGTTGGAGATGCTTAAATCAGTCTTATTCTCTTGTCTGTATCATTGGATTTTTGGATTCAAAATTCCATGGGAAGTCAAAAACTTGGTTGAAAAAATATTCAAACAGTTATTATGGAGTGGAAAACAAGATACTAAAAAGATGGCACAGCTGAAGTGGAGTCAAGTTACATTACCTGCAGCAAAAGGTGGATTCAATATCAGAAGGATTAAAGACATTGGCAGTGCAGCTAAGATGACTGTGTTGGGACTTTGTTCAGAAAAAAGACAAGTTGTGGATCAAATGGTTAAATGCAGTATATTTAAATAGAACTGACTTCTGGTTAGTGGTTCCAAAATTAACTGATTCTGTTGTTTGGAAACACCTACTAGGGGATCGTGACTTGATCCTAGAGAATGTTAGGTTTCAGATTGGAGATGGCAGAAAGTTTAAACTATTAACTGACCCTTGGTGTAATGAACAAAGTTTATAACAACTTTTTGGTGCAGTTAGCTTTAGAAATTATGACAGACATGTTGGTTAAGATTCTATTCTTGTTAATGGAGCTTGGGAATTTCCTGGTTCTTTTACAGTTCCAATGAAAGATACTTTAAATCAGTTGGAAATTCATTCTAGACCAGATCAGATTACATAGAAGCATGGTAAGTTCTCTTTGAAAGCTGCATGGAACATCTGTAGATCATAAGCTCAGAGACTGCAATGGGCTGGTATATGTTGGAAGACATGTCGACCAAGGGTGAGTATAGTGACTGTAATCATTCTACACAAGAAGAATTTGGCATTTGTGAATTTACAGAAAAGAGGACTGATTCTCACTTCTATATGCCATAATTGTTTTGCTGGGGAGGATTAAAATGATCGTATGTTCTGCAATTGTGAATTTGCTACAGAAGTTTGGGTTGGTATGTTTGATTTGCAAAAGATAGAGTGACCTAGATGCAATAATCTGATGCAGGTGGTGGACTGGTTTATACAACATACTTCTCAAAACTCTGTCAGAGTTAATAAATTAAGTGGTATATTTTCAGTCACAATCTGGAAATTATGGTCTACAAGAAATGCTTCTCTTCATAATGGGATCAGAGATCAGAGTTCACAGATTGTTCAGACTATTATGTGGGATGTCCTTACATATCTGCATATTAGCCTAGAAGATTTTATGATTGTTTTTGGTGCTTAATGTTAGATTTATTTTTGGATTTCTTGAGCATTTTCTGGAAGTGGATCTTTTCCATTCCTTAATGTAATTCTGGAGGAATGCCTCCGGTTGTAATTGTACTATTTGATTTTATTTTATATACAAAACACCCCATTCAGAAAAAAAAAAAAAAAAAAAAAAATTCTGGAGGAATGCCTCCGGTTGTAATTGTACTATTTGATTATATTTTATATACAAAACACCCCATTCAGAAAAAAAAAAAAAAAAAAAAAAAAAAAAAAAAAAAAAAAAAAAAAAGAAGATATGTTGAAATTTAGTTAAAAAAAGGTTTGAGTTCAAGACGTAGTTCACTTCAGACCTTCAAATAGAAACTATTAACACTGAGTGTAGGTTCAAACTTGAAAGGTTCCTACAACCATTACATGGTATAAAGTTGCCCTAGTTTTTTAAAAAAAATTAATTTTATTTATTTATTTTTATTATTATTATTAAGAGGTTTACAAATCTTGTGGGGGATTGTTAATATAATATAAATATTTCTAGAACCTCTTTAAACAGTCCCTCTGGAATCCTTTTAGTTGAGATTTTTTAAATTGAGACTTTCAACGTTGTTATGATTATTTTTCAACGTTCTAGCATGTATTTGTCACACTTTGATTACTATTGTTGGACTCGTAAGTCTATAAATAGGAGTCCAGCAACTCAGAGAAAGATATAACAACGCATCAAACTATACTCTTAATTTTCTTCCTTTCTCACCTACAAGTATTATAATACTTTGTTTTTTGACAACTGATCCACGACTTATATACTTCGTGTCAACGTGTTGTAGAGGAGTTAGTGGCTGTGAGCGATTGGGGTTGTATCTTGGAACTGCTATAGCCATCACCGTCTGCACGTAGAAAGGAAATAGCAGTTTTAAGACGGCGTGTCCAACACGTGCCTCACCTATTCCAGGCCAGAGCTTTCTTTTTCTTTTATATATATATTTATGTTGTTGTATTATAAGGATAAATTATGTTGTTCATTATTATTTATTTGAATTTCTATTAATAAATGTTACACTGGTGTTTGGGTTATTAGTTCTTACGTATCAAAGTTTCTACTTCAGCAAAATAAATGTTCGAAAATCTATTTTCTTCACTTTCAATTACTTTCATTTTTCAATATCTTTTTATTTTTAATCAAATTATGTTTTCTTGTTCATAATTTATCTTTGGGTAAAAACATTGACCACATTTGAAGTTTGGTATAATTACACGTGGCAAGCAAAGATGACAAATATTACACATTGTATCCCTATCTACTCTTTCTTTTTATGTATAGATATATTTACATAATGCCCCTACAATTTTTAATTGCTAAAAATATCTTTTTTTTATTACTCTTCAAATTTCTTTGAATCCCTTAAAAAAAAAAAAAAAAAATTACATTTTCAATCAAACGCTAATTTTTTTCCCCTTCAAAGTTTTCTCACTGTTTTTTGCCCCCTTATTTTTTATTATTTTGTCCCCCTCTTCTTAAAATTCTTCTTTTTGCAATAATGTATTTTATAGCTACGGTAACCTTTTATTTTATTTTATGTTTTGGGTCCAAATTTCATGCATTTTTTTTCTTTTCTTCTTATTCAAATTTGTTACTATAATTGAACTCAATATGTGTATTTTATAATTTAAGTTTGTTCTTATTTATTTATTTATTATTGTTTTGTTTCACTATTACTTGGAAAAAAAATAATTTATTTATCATGTTCAATATGCCTCCTCTAAAATAAAATTTTTGACTCCATTATTGTTTTTATTGAAGCTATCATTCCTCACTAAATTGATTGAGGTTACTTAAAAATTCATTGAAAGAAAAGTTATTACAATTGTTTTATTTTATTTTTAAATTTTAAATTACTATTTTGGCACGCAAATGAATATTTCTGATTTTTTAGAGTACAAACTACATACATCATGCTAAATGCAAAACGAAATCAGAGAACTTTGAAAAAGAAAAAAAAAAACAGAAGGGAGGTTTTGATTAAAAAAGGAATATATATTAATCTTTGGATGACTTTGAGTCCTTGACCACAAGTTCTCATTCTTCAATCTTTTCGCCACGTGGAGCCCTCCCATTCGTTGTTACAGCTGAATTTTCAGATCACTTCACGTGCATACAGATAAGCCTGCGGGCCCCCAAATTTGCCTCGTCATCACAGCCACGTCATAAAGTTCATACCCATAAAACGAACACGTCAGACCAAAAGGCAGAATTATAGAGAGAGAAAGTGGTTAAAAGAGAGTCCTAACCCAAAAAAAAGTTGGAAATATAGAGAGAGAAAGTGGATAAAAGAAAGTCCTGCAGAAGCTCAAAGAGCTGATGAGGTAGGTGATCATAATAAAATAAACACATCCATCTGTGTATTGCAAAAAAATTAAAAATTAAAAATTAAAAATAAGGGGATAGAAGTTTTCGAAGCATGAAATCTTGTGATTGAATTGAAGTTTAGTTGACATTATTGGTATTTTCGCCTATAGCTTTTTTTTTTTTTTTTTTTTTTTTTTTTTGATAAGTGCTTTATTTCGTTTTGCTTGCAGTTTGATAATTTAGGTTTTTTTTTTTTTTTTTTTTTTTTTTTTCATCTTATATACATAAAGGAGCACTGAGAATCCTTAGATTAGTTGCTTATTTGTGTGTGTAATTTGTGTATGAATTTATATCTTTTTATTGACCCTAGGTGAGACGAATCGAACACATAACCCCTCAAATTCTGAATGTGTGTATCAAAAAAATTGTCAATTTTTTGTTTTAATTAATTTTAATTTTATATTTTTATTGGAATGGTAATGTTGCCATGCCAAGGCAACTGGGCTCCCTATGTTTTTAGATGGGGCTTTTTCACTCTGCAATGAATAAATGTCTCACATTTCTATATATATATATATATATATATATATATGCATCCACACAATGCATTTTCTATTTCCATCCCTAATGCCTCTGTATTGATTTCAAACTAGTAAGTTGGGTTTGATTTTCATTTTGTGCTTCAAATTTAATAATGTATTATTTGGAAAGGTGGATCTTTGAACCAGAGCGGAAAGAATATAGGAGAATTAGGGTGTTAAAGATGAACTGATATCTTCACTTGTTATGCAGATACTCTATTGTTTCTGATCTTGGCTTCTTATAGAAGAAGACTGTCCTGTTGTTTGGGCTCGTCCAATCGATTCGAAGCTGGTGTTAGTATTAGAATACTAAACTTAATTTATGATAAATACTGAAAATTTGGAATCTTTATGATTGGGGAATAAGAAAATGGAGAAATGCTGTGAATTCTGTATGGCATTAAGGCCAGTTATTTACTGTAAGGCAGATGCAGCACATCTTTGCCTTTGTTGTGATGCTAAGGTTCATTCAGCTAATGCTCTTTCCAACCGGCATTCCCGTACCCTTGTGTGTGAGTCATGCAGCTACCGCCCAGCTTGTGTTCGATGTTCGGACCATAAGATGTTTATATGTCGCGGCTGTGACCAAAGCCTGCACGAGGACCCTTCTCGACATCAGAAACGAGTTATCAGTAGTTACATTGGGTGCCCTTCTGCAAAGGATCTTGCATCCTTATGGGGTTTCGACTTGAATGAATTGGACAGTAATGCTCTTCCAAGTCTGTTTGTTTTCGAAGATCAAGTTAATGTGAATTGTGATATTCCAAGACAGTCTCTCCCCCAAGTTCGAGGCTTTGCATTAGCATCTAAAGTGAACTCCACGGCTTCAATATTTTGTGCAGAATCTGAAGTTGGATCAAGCAATCAAAATAGTAAGGTAAGCATGGCTTGACCTTAATTGAATAGTTATTAATTTTTTAGTCATGATTACTTTTATTTTGCCTGTTCAAATGTTAGCAATTTCTATATGTTCATTGTATCATGTTAACTGTAGTTACTGAATGACAAACCCTAGTGATTTTAGTAAAAAATCTAAGTTCATGCTATACAAGAGGTGTAATATTAAAGCTATCCTCGTTGGGGTTGGAAGTTGTGTGTGTGGGAAGGACCTGTATTAGGAGAACTTTGTAATCTTAGTCCACTTGTTATGTCTTTTCAATATTTTTTTTTTGCTAGTTCTATATATCATTTGATGTGTTACACCTCTTCACCCATCATCATCTTGACTGGTTTGCTGATGGTGTTTGCATATTCAAATGTTCTCCAATCTCAATATATGATATATAGAGGTGGTCAAGCTGTTAATAGTTTGATAATGAGATATAGCTTTACACGGGCCAAAACTCCCTTGGGCATATATAACATCCAAGTGAGTCACTCGGATGAAGTTTTGGATCAAGCTATTAACATGGGACTAAAAGTCATACAGTTTTTGGTATTAAAAAGTCGTGATAATATAGAAATTGCCACCTAGTAATGACGAGACCAGACTGATGTGCCGCGATTTGCTCCAATGTCTGCAAGCTTTTGGTACAAAAGAAAGGGAAGGATACATAATAAAGAAATAGAAAAGAATAGATGGTATTATATTTGGGGAGAAAAAAGAAAAGAAGAAAAAAGGTATTTATTGGTAAAAAAAAAAGAGAGAAAAAGAAAGAAAACTGACAATCTCTTTCTGTATTTGAGAGTTCTAAAGGGAGAGTAAAGAGAGGAGGAGGTAAAAAAAAAAACAGATCATTCTTATTAAACCAAGGATTAAATGGACAATCACTCTCATTTTTCTTTGGTTCTTTATGTTCTACTTCGAGGACCTGGAGGGTAAATTTCTCTCCATTTTTTCTCCACACAAAACTTTGAAAAAAAAAGGATCGCTTTCTTTATCCACTTACATTTTCTCTTCCTTCTCTTTCTCCAAGATGGAGAGGAAGTAGAGAGGGAGAGAGTGGGCACTTTTAAGGTGTTCAAAGGTCGGTAAAGGATGTCATACGGGCCTAGGAATGCACTTACGATGTTTATTGGTAATGTTCTGGTGAACCTGCCCTTACGACCTTTACGATTGCTGTGGTGTCCTTGGAGAATGGGGGTTTAGATCAGCCCTGATATGTTACACTGAGCTAGGAAAATATTAAAACACTTTTTCCGGTTGTCGTATTTTGTTAAAATTACAAATACAAAAAACATGAACTGATTTGGAAGTAAGAAGTATAGGTCCGTAACCCTAGGCTTTGATGTATAGTTGCATGAGGCCCGTGATCTTGACCTAGAGTGGGGTGAACATAGGTAAAATAACTAACTTTAGCTAATTTTTGAATTTTACCTATTACCAACCATTCAAAAATAAAGTAACATAATAATTATAATCTTACTCAGTCCATCATGAAATTAAACATGCCATCAACCAAACATGGATAGTATAAGCTGTAAAGCAAAAAACATAACAGAGGCATAGAATTTTTTACGTAGCAAGGCGAAAAATCATGGCACCTAGTCCAGTTAGATCAAACCCACTACTGGCATGAGATCAAGACTACGTTAACAATCCCCAAACCTTAGATCCCCTTATTAACTCTTGACTCAGATTCATCCATCAAACTCTACACTCAAGTCTCTAGGCACAAAAACCTGCTCCACGAACAGATCCACTCCTCACTGCATCTGATATATCCCAAACCTTAGAACCCCTAATTATAATCCACGTTATGCAATTATAAATGTCAAAATTTTAGAAAAATAATCATAGGTATATCTTGTATAGCATATGCACAGATATAAAAAGGCATATATTTAGTTATTCTCGTCTCATCCTCATTTCTATCTCCTACCTTCATAGAATATTCCGTGTTTGCGTGTTAATATCATGTTGTCCACCCTGATCCTTCTTCTAATGGTAAAAAGTATACTGGATCTCCTCTCCCTCAGGCGCTTTTTGCTTATCCCATTCCCTTTCTGCCTTAAATCCTCCCTCCCCTCCAGCCCATTGGTCCAAAATTGTCTGGTTTAAGCTTTCAAGTCCTAGACATCCCTTCATCCTTCGGCTTGCCATTCAATCTGAGACAGCAACCAGAGATAGCAAGGCCCTTTCTTTCCTTCACTTTCTAAACATGCGTATACTGTGAGTCTGTGTTATAGAGCAGCAGAGACTCGTAACCATTTATCTTCCACTGCCCATTTTCTCAAGCTATATGGTCCCACTTTCAAATGCTATGTAATTTTCATATTGTCCCTCCTGATTGGAATTCTTTGATTAGCTGGTGCTCCTCCCACGGGTCTTCCCACTCTGAATTCAGACAAAAATCAATCAACAAGCTCACTCTTGCAGATTATGTTTAGGAGGGAAAGAAACAGTAGAGTTTTCGGTTCTAAAGCTCTCTCCTCTTTCACTGTCACCCAACTCATTTTCAACGACAACAGGAGTAGGCTTTTCTCTATCAAAGACAAGGAAAGTATTGCAGCCAGATCTATTTGGAACTAATTGGAACCTCCCCAGTTCCTTCGTCAAGTAAGCCCTCTTCCTAGTTTTTTTGTTCTGGTTTTCCTGTTTGCTTGTTTTGTTCATGTTTTATAATCTGTTGTTTCTCTGTTGCCTATTCCTTATGGTTTCAGCTATAGGTTTTGTTCATCTCCAGCTTTGTGGCTGGATGTTTGGGGTATTCTTCCTCCTTTGTATTTTTTTTTTCTCTCTATAAAATTTACCATTTTACCGAAAGAAAAAAAAATCATGTTGTCCATCTCTGCGTGTCCCATGTCCATGTTTATCCTTGTTCTTTAATATGTTAACTTCTGGTGAAGCTGCAAAACATTTTCCAGCCATATTGCCCTTCTGGTAGCAAGCCTAGATAACAGATGGTTTGAAATTTTTAGTGGAAGTCTCCTGCTTTAGATAGATTCTATTGAACATTATTGTTACCAGCCACAAGTGATTAAGCAAAGTCAATGCACTGCTGTGTTTATAATGATGAATTGGTACATCAATTCTAATACATACATATTGTCTTGTTAAGTTAAAGAACCAATTAGTAGAGTATCGCATCCTGGTTTAATGTGTCATGGTTCCCTTTTTAAGTTTAGCTCTGTGTGCGTGTGCGCGCGCGCACAAATATGTATGTTTGTTAAGTTTGTTTTACTGTGATAGTTTGTTGGGATTTTGAATGTCTCCCCTTTTTGCCTGATGAGTTCTAGATATATTTCTACGTAGATCATTGTCAACACTGGCAACATGCAGTAAGGTAACTTAAGCCATACTAATAACTTATTTCAGTTTGAACAAGAGCTTTTGTATTTGAGTTCCAAACTTGCATGATATTATGGGATTTTCAGTTCCAACATTGCATGATATTATGGGATTCTATTAACATTTCACTCAAATAAACAGCAGCAAAATACTCGCCTTATTCTGCAACAAATTATTGACTTGAAAAGGCTTCAGCTTACTGAGGACAGCAACCCGACTTTGATACGTGGCCAAGCACAAACTAACATATCTTCATCTGAATATGATAAATCACAGAATATTGAAAGAAATCTTGATCAGCATTTGCAGCATTCTCTTGGTCATGGTGCTGATCTTCTGCAAATGGATAGTCCACATCAGGAACTAAATGTAGAGCCTTTTCCTTTGCCATTTTCTCAATTGGAGCACTTAATATATCCATCTGCTGTAGGAAACTCTTTGAATGAGGATATCTTTTGGCAATGCAAAAGTCCAGTTCAGAATGGCCAGGTTTGATCATTTGCACTGCTAGATATTTAATTGCACTGTTGATGCAATAAATAATCTGATATTTGTTCATGTCATTGATCCATCTATACTTACGGCGCCGTGAGGATGCAAAACTTATAGGGGCCATTGTTTGGTACACTGGTAGAATGCTCAGATTAGTAAGCATGAGAATAGGGGTTCGATTTCATAAGCATCCACTTTGCGTAAATAATGTCAAAGGGGTTTGTATCTGATCCCCCTCCCAGCATTTTCAATTAAAGGAGACCGTAGTGGGTAATGGCCCTTTGTAAATGCGGTCTATCTCGAGGCAACAAACCAGCATTTGGATGTGTTTCTTCTGCCTCAACTAAAGAATCTGTGTGACCTAGATCTCTTTAGCTCCACCAAGAAAGCAAAACAAGTAGGATGAGTTAGCTTTGAAACCGTAGTTCTTTTATGGATGGCAAAGTTATCACTTCTTTTACCTTATATATAATTTTTGGGGAAGTAATTTAAGATTTCTTGAACAATTATAATGTTCTAATTCACTTATCATGCAATAGATCATTAAAGGTATATAAAATTTTCTATAATTGAATTCCCCAGTTGTGGTCTCAAAATATGCAAGACCTTGGAGTTTGTGAAGAAATGGGCTTCTTTGATGATTTTAACATACCCAATCTTGATTTGACATTCCGAAACTTTGAAGAACTCTTTGGAGGTGATCAAGATCCCACTAGTGCACTGCCAGATGACAAAGATAATACATGTTCCTCCACGGAGAAGGATACAGTTCTGGATAGATCATATAATGACTATGCAGTAGAAACAGAGGTTTGAATTTGTGCTTTGTTGTTTATTTTACATAATTTAATTGTGTTTCAAGCAATTTTTGGCATCTCATTACCCAAGGTCTTACATGTCACTGCTATGCATGATATAAAAACAGTTTTAGACAAAACCAAGAAAAATAACTGCTAGATAGCATAAAATCTTTGGTTAAACTTTTCTGATGATGAGTAACATGCTTATAGATTAACTCACAACTCAAAAATATATTAAGTGTTGAACAAACACTTGAAAAGCAAAATCTAGATGACCTGGCAGGAAATATTTAACGGCAAGATCTAGATGAACTTGAAACTAAAAAGACAAAAAGAAAATGAAAAAGAACTATCATTTGCTCTTGTTTTTCGGATATTGGTATTTTTAAGTTGATTTAAGACTTGATTAATTTTGCATCTTGTGTTTTTTGGATGTTGGTACTTTTAAGTTGCTTCTTATTTATTGAGGAAAAAAAAGTTGCTTCTTATTTCATTAATTTTGCATCATGTGATTATGTATCTAGCCTTGAGGTTGTAATTAGATGTCATGGCACTAAATTTGGTATTCTGAGTATTCTTTATTAAGTTTGAATAGGTACTTGTTGTATTATTTTAAAGCCTTGCACAAACCCAGAGGAAAGTCATTTCCATCCTCAACCAAGTAGGATATAAATCAATAGATAAAAATTAATACCATTAGGTGAATTCTTATCCATTATTCCCGTAAACATAAACCTGTAATGATATGTCCTATTTGGTTAAGTTTTCTGATATGGGTGATATGGGCATGCTTATGATGTCAAAGATGATTGCTCCTTCCCTTAGGTGGTCTTAAATTGTCCCTTCTGGTGTTTCAGTTCTTCTGATTAGGTTGCTATTTTAGTCATTAATATGCTTCATCATGACTTGGGATCGTCATAGATCGTTACTTCTTCTGGCAATGAGACCTGAGGACTGTACTTTATCTACATGAAAGCCTGCTTCAATCAAAACTCCAAAGTGGGATAAATTATAATTATTCTTGGTGCAATGAATCGGGGTGAGACCTTTAGGAATATAATTTTTCTGATAGGCTAATTGCACCCAGCAGTCACCTCTATGTAAGAACCATTTATATTATCAGTAGCTTTAACTGATTAACCCTTAATGTATCTTGTGTACTTGAGAATCCTTATAAAGTTGTGCCTATGTTCAATGTTACAAGTAGTATCTTCAAAAGTTAGTGACTAAACTTCTAGAAGTTTCTTCTAAACATAGGGATCACTGAGAGTCCAATTTTATCCATTGACCTGGCTTTCCAAATGTTTACCAATGGTAACATCTGGGCTGTGCTGGTCACCAAGGTACCAAGGTGAGTACATGTAGAAAAACATTACCACATTATGTGCTTTGGTGTAACTGGTAAAATTAACTAGAATTTATATGCTTGGACTTGTGCATTTTTCAAGCTCAAGGTTAGGGCCGAGTAATAAGAAACTCCCACCCAAGTGGTACATGTAGAAAAACATTGTATTTTTTCCTTGGCAAGAAATTCACCCACCCATTTGCCCCTATGGGGACTTGAACCCTTACCTCCCACTTTGGGAGGCATAGCAAATTCCACTAGGCTAGAACCCTTGGTTAGCAAAAGGTTGTATGATAAAAATATTTTGGATATATTTGCAAAACGTTAATGACAGGGTTGCATGACTTCGTTTACAAGCATTAAGTTCCCTTATCATCTTGACCCCTTGGTTTACCATGAAGGGGTGATTGTCTGGAAATCTGAATTTTTGTTATTTTATTTATTTGTTTTTTATTTTTTTTCCATTGGCAAGAAACTCACACACGCCCACTTGCCCCTATGGACTTGAACCCTCAATCTCCTACTTTGGAAGGTGAGGAAGTATCACTAGGCTACAGCCTTTGGTGGTATTTTTGTTCTGCTTTTTTACATTATATAATCTTTTCTTTTCTTCTTTCCATTTCTTTCTCTCATTACAGGATACCTCAGTAACTTCGTCTGTTTACATCACACGGTCATCTCATGCAGACAAAGATGCATTTATCTCTGACCAAGATAACCGCTTTTCTAGAAGTGGTGATTTTCCTTGTTCAACCTTATCATTCTCACTTTCAAGGCTCAGTGCTGAAAGCAGTGATACCGGTTACATGGATAGCATTCTCTCACCCATCATTGCTGGACAGGAACTTCCATATAATTTCCCCGACCTGGGATGCAAGGAGAAAAAAAAAGGTCGATTGTAAGCGTCAACTTTCTCCCCTATGATGGTTTTTGGACAAATATCATGTGACATAATTTAATTTGATTAAAACTTGTTTTGTTGTGTTATATTATCATTGTCTTGATCACGCACTAGGTATCCACTTTTACTGTATATTGTCTTGTTCTCTCACTAAGTATCTACTTTTACTAGTTTTGAATTATCTAGGTTTTAAATGAATTAAAAACCATGTGGTTCTATACATACATGTTGTGTTGTGTTTCCTTTTTAATCTGAAAGGCATTTGGGCAATAATTCAGAACATTGATTTGTACTGGAACGTTTATCTGGGTCTGTATTCCTTAATTTGGGTTGAACATATATTTGCCTTAAACTTGACTTTTGATGGTTGAAGTAGCACTAATTGGAGATAAAATCAGTTAAGATCATTGGGACAGTGCACAAAAGATCTTTAAGTGCATCAGTTAGGAATATGGCTCCATTATCTAATAAAAATCTGCACTTGACTGGGATCCTTTTAACTCAAAGATGTCATTAACAGGAAATGCTCTTCTTACTTGTGTAAGCATATTTTTGTGTTGCATACATAGCAGCAGAACCACACGGGATGGGGTGTATCCTTGCTCAAAGTAGGAATGGGCTCCGATTTCTCATCTTATGAATTATGATCTATTGGTTGTGTTCTTTTATAGCACATTCTGACTTCTTTTTTGGCTCACTTTCTCATTTTTATTTGAAAAGTGCTCTATCTTCTTTCAATTTCCAGGTATGAGAAACAAATTCGGTATGCATCCGGGAAAGCCAGAGCTGATGCACAGAAGCGTGTATAAGGGAAAATTTGTGAAGGAAGAGGGCTATGATTCTGACACCTTGGATGTGTGACATGAAACAATTGATGTTACTTCCGTTTTTCACCATCTTGGTGCTGCACATAAATCAATTCTAAGGCAATTCAATGGCATGTCTACTAGTATTCTCTTGTTTGCAACTTCAATTCAATCTATTCTTTCAGTCCTTAATGTGTATCACCTGTTTTTCAGTTCTAGGAGAGAGCAAGACTTGAAACTTCTCGGGGGTTTGAAGTTTTATTAGTGCAGCTTTAATCAGAAATACTGTAGCATGAACTTCTGCTCAATCCCATTATATACACACACACACACACACACAAGGCTGTAAACAGTGATTATTTTGAATAGACCTTAGCGAGCTGTAAGAACTATGGCAGGCAGTGTGATACCCCTCGATTCTAGAGCCACGGGTGATCAAGTCCGAGCACAGAATACAAGGGATATCAAACAATTAATATTTAAACAAGCATTGGAATACAAGATGAATTAAAAATAGATAGATAAACTGAAAAAAAAACTAAATAATAATTAAAAATCCCATACTAAAGTTCTCTAATCCTCTTATATAAGTAATTAATTAAAACCATAACTCGGGAATCCATATTTTGGACCCCTAATAATATCCTAACTGAAATAACTGAACTGAAATAAAACTAATAATTAAACCATGAACAAGAGTCCTACGTAGAGTCGGAAGAGTGAATGACTGTCTCTTTTTGGCACGAACAATCTCTAAGACTAGAACTGATGAACACCTGAAAAGTAATGGTAGGTCAGGCCCACAAACAAGTTCTAATTTACTACATCCCAAACAGAGACCCGATACACGTACACATCCCAATTAATTCAACAATAACTAAATAGTCCATATGTAGATATATACACACTAAAGGAACCTCACTAGACTATAGAGTTGTCTCAACCTGAATAGTAGGCAACATGCAAAACGCACGTATAGTGGGCATGAGTACCTAGACCTACCAGGGTACACAACTACGCTATATTTAGCTACACATCCCTGGCAATATACGCACCCTAACCACTGATCCTGAGACTCAAGCTCATATCATGGCGTATAATTATATATGTAAAATCCATCTATCCAATCATCAAAATAAACTATCCAATTATTATTTTAATAATATGTCATCCAACTATTCCGTTGACCTGACACGAATAAGTAGGACTTAACACTATGGTTAATCCGTTCCCTTATTAAAATTAGGTAGGACTTAACTTTTAAGTTAATCCGTCCCTAATATGCCCTCATCCCATAATGGTGCATTAATCCATATCATAATCAAATAAAAGTTTCCAATCTAAGAATAATGTAAATAATATTTACATTTAATAATCCAAATAAACATGATATAAATCTTAAACACATCATTTGCATTTACTTGAGCAAAAATATCAATTCTAAGTAGCATGCATTTAATTTACATCATAAGAAATTAACATGCATCTTAACTAAATTGTACATCTCCAAGTTCTAATTAAATTACTTTAAATCTAAATAATTGATTAAAATAATTTAATCCAACAATATTTAATTAATTTATCTTTTTTAAATTAATTAAATTTCATACTTAGCATATAAACTTAAATCATGCATTCCAATTCTTAATGAATCTATTTACTTTAATTAAATATTTAATACAGATCCATCAATCCAAAAATAACAAAATAATAATACTAATTTAATATTTCAGCATTAAACAGATTTACATACAAATTTATTTAATGCCAAACCAATTATGTACCAAACTGATGCATTCCTAAAACAATTGTCCTTTCCTTCTCGTATGGTGTGTACAATTGATTCTAATTACAATTGCATTACAAATTGATTCATTCAAATCAGTATGTTTCTATTCCTCGTTCGGCGTGCATTCATAAAGGAAACAATTACAAAATTTGATTTCATATACATATGGTATACAAACTGATTTGGGCAAACATTAGCCTCGTTCGGCGTGCATTCATAAAGGAAACAAATTCAAATTTTGACTTTATATGTTATACTATACAAACTGATTCATGTAAACCATCACTACCCTCGTTCGGCGCGCACCCAAACTAATTCATGCTATAACTAACTCATGTGTGAAAAAAAAAAAAAAAATTTTGATAAATTAAAATAAAAACTAAGGCCATCAACAGTGTTAAGTTCGGCAGAAAAGAAGAATTAAATCTCATTATTAAAACATGAATTTAAATTTTCAAATTAATTAATAAAATTTGATTCAATTAATTCATTTAAAGAACCTATAATTAATCTAGCATGCATAGAGTACGAATCAAAGGAGAAGAAAAGAATTACAACTTGTCTTTAGGGATTTGATAAAAATCCTAACCTCCTTCTTCCTTTTTCTCTTCCTTCTTTATTTCTCTAAAATATAGTACGTGATATATTTTCTAACCTCTTTCACAACTCTATAGTTACATATTTATAGGCAACTAAAATAATCTTAATCTTTTTTCCATTCCAAGACAAACTAAAATAAAATAAAATAAAATTTAAATACTAAAAAGGTAACTTAAATATATGTTACGTATAATCTATGTGTACTCCTTTCTATATATAATATATAAATATATATCAGATTATTATTTAAGGACTTTACTTTTATATATATATATATATATATATATATATATATATACACATGGGTAATTATCCGTACCCATTAAATCCCTTATCCAAGTAGTCCATGGAGCCCAATGGATTGGTCAATTACTACTATCCATATCCAATTCTTTAAAAATATAAAAATAAAATAATTAAATTCCTAAATAAATACACATCATCACATACAATTCAATTTAAACAAATAATTAAATCAATTAAACAAGTAAACAATTAACTAAGAAAATAACTAAATAATTAAATGCAATTAAAACTATTAAAATAATACCGAGACTATCCTTTTTAAATTAGGGGTATTACAGGCAATCACTTTATCTGGTCGTGTGAACTTCCCATGGTAAGTAAAATTCACACTTGGTCAAATGAGTAGCATTTGGATATGTCATTGTTTTCCTTGATTGTTTTTCCCAAATTGGGTGAGCTTTGGCGCAAACTGGAGGTCACGGGTTCGAAACCAACAAGTTTCTTCGCATGCAAGGTAAGACTGCGTACATTTGACTCTCTCCTCACACCTTGCCATTTATAAGGCTAGCCCTTCTTTTTATATATGAATGTATACTGTTTCCGTACTGTTTCCCTAATATATTGGTCTTAGAGCATGTGCAGCGGGCTAACTAAAGCCCAATTTTGGCGAGAGAATGGCCCTTTGGCCGTGCAGCAACTTAGCTTAAAAATGCGAGGCCCAGTTTGCCTTGCGGGCCGACTCGCAGAATATTGCTAGCTGGCCCGCGATCGTGATATTTTTTTTTTTTTTTTTTGGTCTTTTGCAAAACAGTGGGGTTTTGCTTGAGCTTTCTTTTCTTTTTTTTTTTTTTTTTTTTTTTGGCAAACGGTCCTGAACAGTGCTAAAAGGCTCTATTTGGCATAATGTTTTTTTAAAAAACCTAAAAATAGGTTATTTTGAGCAATTTTTTTTAAAAAAATTAATAAATAAAATTCATTAAATGAAAAATATATTGTTTAGGAACTGTTTGTCCAAAAAAAATTTATTTGGGCAAAAAATGAATTAAAAAACCTCTTTTTCCCCCCTTAAAATTTGGTTTTTTTTTTTTATATAAATATTTTTGTTTTAAATTTTAAATGTGTACCGCAAATAGTATATTTGACCGTTAAGGCATTGTTTGGCTATTATAATTTTTTAAAAAAGTTTAAAAATTCAAATTTTTTTAACTTTATTCAAAAAAAAAAAAATTAATTAAAAATTTTAAAATCACTTCTCTTTTATAAATACCCTAACTCCTACCATCATTCATCACATCTAACTCATCTCTATTATCTACCATTTAACTTATTTCTCCTTTTATTTTCTCAATCTTAGCTATTATTTTCAAACTCATTTCGATTCCATGGATCCTCGACATCCATTTTATTACAACACCCAATTCAACCCATCAAACGATGAGTTTTTGCCATTTCTTGAAAACAATATCAATTATTATAAAGGAAATTCTCAATTTCCTTCTCATCAACCATCTCAATCTTCTTATCAACCATCCCAAACTTTTCATCAATATTGTGGTACTAGTGTTCCACAATCAAGTAACTCAAAACCCCCGCTAAAACAACCGGCTATCTAAAATAATAATTAGACCAAGGCTGAAGATAAGGCTTTATGTTGGGCGTGGATGTCCATTACCTCTGATGCGATTACAGGGATAGACCAAAGTAAGAAGAAGTCATAGGAGTAAATCCTGGAACAATATGTACAACATATTGGTGTTCTTCCAACTGAGCGAAATGATGGAGGTTTGATGAATCGTTGGTCAGTGATCCAATAAAAAATCAGTAAATTTTTCAGGTGCATGACTACCATCAAAATGAATCGTCCAAGCAGCTTCAGCAGTAATGATATGGTAAGTTATTTATTATTTAAATATAACTCGTAAATATTTTAAATAGTCGACCTATAATTTTTTGTTAATTTTTTTCGTGTAGTTGATAGCAGCTAAAGACCTATTTCATAGCCAAACAGGTGGTGAATTTAAGTTAGAAAGTTGCTGGGAGATCTTGAAGCATAACAATAAATGGCATTCACATTGTGCCGAACAAGTAAATAAAGGAAAAAAGAAAAAACAGCCGAAGAAGAGGAGTGGATTTGACTTTGACATTAATGAGTCTATTGGACACTCATTACCATCTACTCCATCAAGTCATACGGCCATGACGGATGGAGCTTCAACTGAAGATCACCATTACCATCTACTCCATCAAGTCATACGGCCATGACGGATGGAGCTTCAACTGAAGATCACCATACATGGGGGAAAATAATTCACTTGGTGTTGAAGAATATCAACAACTACAACGACTAGCAGGAAGAAAAGCGGCGAAGCAATGCCGAGCAAAAATTAAGTCAGCATATGAATTGCAAAATGCATTTTTTTCTAATTTTAATGATATCAAATGTCGTTATGAGAGTCATCAGGAGAAAATGAAGCATGCCCAAGTAGCACGAGATGTAAGAAAAGCGGAGAAAGAAAAGATGAGGTAGCTAGAGATTCTAGAGAAACAGAGAGCTGAAGAAAAGGAGATCATGTTAACAAATCAAAATTCGGCACCAATAGAAGCGGGAAAAGCTTGGATTATTGCACGACAAAATGAGATATTAGCATCTTTGCAATCATGGTCCGCCCCAAAGTTCCCATAGGATTTTGAAATCATTGGTCTATTTATTTTCTTATTCCAATTTAGGATATTGTATTGTTTTAAGTTATTTTTAATTATTTTGTTTAATTTAATTTTTTTTTTTTTTTTAATCCATAATGGATAATGTGTTGTTTTAAGTTATAATATTAATCCTAGTTTTTTTAATAATTTTCAAAAATATTGTTTGATTGAAAAATATTGCCGTTGAGAAAATATAGCTATTACAAATATAACCGTTGGGAATATTGCAGTTAAAAATATAGCCGTTAGGAAAATTTAAAAAAATTATTATTATTATTATTATTATTATTATTATTATTATATATATATATATATATATTTTTGGAGAGCAAAAATTTAGAGAGGCTGATGGAATGTATGTTTCTGGAGAGCGAAATATGTTGACGTGGCTCTTGGAATTACTGACATGACTATTGGAAAAACTAAAATGACATTTTTGGAGAGCCAAAATCTGGAGAGACTGGTGCAGATGGCCTTATTTGCAAACTTTTAAAGGGACTTAGAGTATCTCCAATGGGCTCTCTGAATTTGCCACATCAGCATTTTTCAATAGCCACCTCAATATTTTTCATTGTCACGTCAGCGTTTTAGAGTTTCTAAATTTTAGCTATCGGATGTACTCCAATGGTGCATTTTCGATTTCCAAAAATTTTAATATTTTTTAAATTTTTAATAAAATTAATTTTTTAACTTTTTCGTAATAGCTATATTATTTTTTAACTTTTTTTGTCCAAAAAAACTTTTAAGGCACTGTTTATGTCAGCCAAACAGTGCCTTAACGGCTCTTTGGTTCAATTATTTTGAGGGTAAAAAAAAAAATGACCAAAAGAAGCTAAAATTCTATTTTTTTTTTTTCCAAGCAAACATGCCCTTAGGAATAGTGTTCTGAGCTAAAACACTGTTCTGGGCCAGAATAAAAAAATATAAACAAAACTGATGCGGGCCCGCGTGGTAAGCCGGCGGCTTGCCAAGAGAGTTATGATTTTCAGCAATCCATTGAGTGGGGCCCAATTTTTGGCAATTCTAATGGAGGAGTCAAATCCGCCCAGAATCGCTAGATTTGAGATCATTAGACCTGTTTTTAGAGGATTTTTGTTTCCACAAGGAGAATATGTGCAGAGCTGTGATTGAGTTTGGACTAGCTGGTCTGACCCATATATTGAGACGCCTTGTCTGGATGTGAACTGGACTAACTCTTGATCCAAGTCCAATAGGTCATTTTTTAGAAGCCCTAAACCCAAAATGTAAAAATTGATGCTTTGTCAAAAGATACCATCTGACAATGCCAGCGTATGCGTAACCATTACAAAAACGCGTTTTTAGTAAATAAAAAATAAAAAAAATAAAAAAAAACAAATATAATATATAATGGTGGTGGTTGTATTTCTTCGCCATTCACCTTCACCTGGAGTGTTTGGGACACAAAGAGAGATAAGAGCATCTCCAATGCACCTTTCATTTGGGTTACTAAACTCAAAATTTAAGAGAGGTGTAAAAAATGGATTCTCCAATGGGCTTCTATTTGGGCTCTTAAATTTTGAGAATGCCAATTTTTTTCTCAAATCTAGGAGCTGCAATTTTTTTGGCAGGCCTTCTCCTCTCTCTGTACGACGCCGTTTGGAACGGCTTTGAGACTGTCCATTACGTTCCGCCCTTTTTCCGACTGGTTGCGTCAACAATCTCTCTCTCCCTCTCATCTGCAACGACAAGTTTGTTGCCATTTCCATCTGACTTCAATCTTGAACTTTTGATTCTTGCAAACAGATAGATAAACTGAAATATATGGGTTTTGAACTTCTGATTCTTGTAGATTTTGTAGTTTGCAATTGCAGAGAGAGAGAGAGAAAGACTTCTATGTTTTATAAGTGGTGGCGGCGGTAGAGAAGGCGGACAGAGCACTAATTTTCCAGTGGTGATGGCGACAGATTTGAGTGAGGGCTTGATCAGACTGGGGATTTTTCCAAGCCTTGATCTTTGATGTAATCAGAGGCTCGAACAAGCTCATCCACAAAATCGAACTCAGAATTCCCCCCAATTTGATGGTAATCACCGTGACTATTCGAATTGATGCGAGTGAAATTAACGAATTAGATCAGATTGAGTGTGAATTGGGGAATAGATCCCACATCGTTAAACAGAAAATTCTAATTCGTATACACCCAGATTGAGAGACGAGGTTTATATATATATATATATATATATATAGAAAAATAATATATATAACAACCCATATTAAGAGAAGAGGGTGGTGGTTGTGGGGGTGGTGCTTATGGCGGTGAGTGAAGAGAGAGAAAGAAAGATGGGGTGAGCGGTGGCGGCCGTCGGTGGTGTTGGGTAGACAGAACAAAGGTTAGACAAGGAAATGATGGTGGTTAACGGTGGTAGTGGTGGCTGCCAAAATAATTTTCTTTTTGCAAATCACTATTTGAACCTTTTTTTGTTTTGTTATATATGTGTGTGTGTGTGTGTGTGTACGCGTGTGTGTGTGTGGCTTTATGTGGTAATAGTTGATCGCCGAAGAAGATGGTGGTTGAGGATGGTGGAGGCGGTGGTGGCGGGAGGAAATGGAGAGGAGGGGGTAATACGTATGTAATATGTATATGTGTATGTGTGGGTAAGGGTAAGTTCAGAGTCAAGAACGAGAATAAAGATGGAGGCGATTGGGGAGGCTGAAATGATTTGCCCTAAAAATATTATGTGGGACATAATCCAATGAATGGTTAAGATGGCAAGGTAGTTTCGAAATCAACGGTCAGATTTAAAGTAGGATTGGAAAGATAGAAGTGGGTTGGACTTGGTTCAATAGAGGGTGAGAATTACTAAAATATAGCATTTTGGATGAAATGCACCATTGAAGCTAAATTATTAAAATATAGTATTTTGACACCGTAATTCCTCTCAAAATATAAATTTGACGCCCGAAATAACATTTAACATTAGAAATGCTCTAAGAGGGTTAAATTGTTCACAATTAGGCCCATTTATATATGGATGTCCGTATACCAAACCCGTGTCATTATATATATGTATGTATATACTTGGACCCGGCTATGCCAATAAGTCATTTTTGACAAGACCGAACCCAAAAAGTAAAAATTGATGCTCTGTCAAAAGATAGCATCTGACAATGCCAGCAGATGCGTAACCATTAAAACAACGCGTTTTTAGTTTAAAAAAAAAAAAAAAAAAAAAAAAAAAAAAAAACAAAACAAAACACAAATATAATATATATAAATGGTTGTGGTTGTATTTCTTCGCCATTCGCCTAGAGTGTTTGGGAAATACAGAAAGAGGGAGAGAGAAACAGAGAGGAGAGGGAAAGGGTGATAGAGCTTCAGGAAGGTGTAGGACGTGGGTGGATCGGTAAGAAAACAACAGATACAGATTTGTGATATGTATGTATAACCGATCTAACTTTTTCTTGCCGACACCACCCATTCCCATGCTTTCCCGAGGTTCCGCCCTTTCCCTTCTACTCTTCCCGGCAAAACCTATATATTTAGAGAGAGATGTGTTTGTTTATATACATATATAGAGAGAGAGAGAGAGGGAGAGGGGGAAGATAAAAAGGAGTAAGAGGGAAAGGGAGATCGATCTACAGGGAGTTGTGGGTGTGGGGTGCTTGGGTAGGAGGAAATCAACTCTTCTTCCCAAGACCCCCCATACCGATGATTCCTTGTTGTTCCTCCCTTTCCCTTCCTTATCCTGCTTAGATACTTTTCCACTTCTCGTGCTTGTGCTGCTCTGTAAGGTAACATCTTTTCTTCTTTCTACTTATTAGTACATCTCACCTTTATCATTTTTGTCTACCAAAAATTTCATTTTTTATTTTTTTACCCACAACAGACTGGGTCTCACTCTTTTGTGAATACTGAAATTTTGTTATTGTGTAAAAAGGTAAATTGCAGGTTTCGGTCAATGTCAGATGCGAGCCAGCCAACGGCATGTCACCTACAGCGGTTTCAAATGTCTTGATTATTTAATTTAATTAATTTATAAAATATCAGTTTTGTTAATGGATAAAATTACCCTTTTATTTTATTTTAGTTCCCGATCTGAGACATGGTTGTGTGTTTTTTTTTATTTTTTTATTTTTTTTTCCTGTTGTGGTGGGTTTGGGCCGGCTATGGCTGTTTTTAATTTTTTTTTTTTTTTTTCTACTCTAGTGGTGATTGTTGTGTTGTGGTTTAGGTGTGGTTGTGGTGGTGTAGGTCATCAGGTGGTTCTGGTAGAGTTGTGTTAGCGGTGTGGTGGTGATTCTGGTGTCATTTGACATATAAGTATGGGTTCGCCGTACTTATATGTGTCTAGGTGGTGTGGTGGTGTTTACTGTGGTGTATAATTATTGCTTATTAAAAAAATATTATTTTAATTTTTGTTTTTACGTCGCGGTGGTTACAGTTATTTAAAAAATAATATATTATTTTTATGTTGGGTGTGGCAATCATGGTGGTGTATGCTATTTTTAAAAAATTATTATTATTATTATTATTTTTTTCTTTTTATGTTGGGGCAGTTATGGTGGTGAACAATTTATCTAGTTATTTTTAAAAAAAAAAAATTTTATTTTCATTTTTATTTTTATGCTGCTGTTGTGGTGGCATGAAGGACTGCAATGCTACTAGTTATAATTAATACATTGCTCCTATCCTATTTTTATGGGGCATTCCTATTTTAATGGAACATTAAAATTTAATTTTATAAGATGAAATACTTTTGTTTATTTATTATTATTCTTTCTCTTTCTTCCATTGCGTGTCCATATGTATAGCTAATCTTCTGTCAATGCATTATTTGGTTTTTTTTTTTCTTTTGGTTTGAATTGTTTTTAGATGGATTCATTCATTTTTTTTTTTTTTTTCTTTTTCTTTTTCTGGCTATGGATTTTGTATATGTATTAAATATTATAAAATTGTGTAATAGAGTTTTAGTCAAGGTTGTTAAAATCGGGATTCTACGCAGAATCATTTTGGGCTCCGTAGAATCGGAATCTTAGAATCGTAAGATTTTATCAAATTGTGAAAAAATAATTGAAACTAGCTTTTTAAACAATAAGATCTGTAAAATATAATAAAAATGAGGCCAAAAAACACAATATTATATATTCATAAGTTTACAAATTTTAAATCTCAACAATATTTCAAAGTCTGAATATAAATAAAAAAGAATGTAGCTCAAAATAACACTGAGTTTACAAATTTCAAATCTTAATTTATCCATCTTCAAATTAGAAAATAAAATTACATATCAAAAGTTAATTTTTTTTTTTTTTTTTAACTTTATGTATTTTTTTTTTTTTTTGGGAAAATTGAAGAAATAAAAGGACTTTTTTGTTCATCAATCCAAGTGGAGTTAGTACAACAAAATATGAACCATTTGATCTCAGTTTAGATTATATACATTGGCTGGCATAGTTGGCAAATTTTTTAAGCTTTTAAATTATTTTTAATTTTTAATATATATGATAAGTCTTCAAAAAAAAAAAAGTAGTCAAATGAAACCAAAATTTGTCTAAACCTGTTAGTAACAAGTATGCATCTTTGAGAAATAATTGATCATTTTAATATTTTATAATTAAATACAAAAATATATTTTGGAACATCAACATGTCCAGTAAAAATAATTGATATATATACATATATATATATATATTTTTTTGTCACTAATGAAAAATAATTTATATTTTATACAATAAATATTTAACTTTGTATATTACACTTGGGCTAGGACTCTTTTATTTTGTAGCCCAGAAGAAATCAACCAAAAAATAAAAAAAAAAGTCCAAAAATAAGGGCCCAAATAACCAATTTTGTAGAATCGTGTAGAATTGTACGTTTTTACTTCCGATTATATTAATTGAACAATTCTATTGCGATTTGACTCGATTTTGAGTTCTGAGTCGTAGAATCGCACGATTTTACGACTCAGAATCGCACGATTTTACGACTCAGAATCGCGATTTTGACAATCATGATTTTAGTATAGTGGTGATGGGATAATTACACTTAATTGAAGTAAAATTGTATAATGAGGTTTTTATTATTTGTAAATGATAAAAATGAAATTTAGTAAAGAGAAAGAGAGAAGTACAGTGGCAATGAGACAGTCACACTTTAGAGATAAGATATAAGATAGCTTGGGAGGAGAGAGATTAAAATTCAAGAAATGGTAATTTCAAAATTAGATTTTAGTGCTTCATAAAAATAGAATACACAGGAGGAGAGAGAATAAAATTCAAGAAATGGGTAATTTCAAAATTAGATTTTAGTGCTTCGTAAAAATAGAAGTAATAGATTAATTATACCCTCGCATCTGCAATTTGCAATCTTCATAAACTATATCTGTGTATATAAGAGTTGAAAATGTTAGTTTGGTGTATTAAATTTAATTAAGAGGTTAAACTTGTAATTTTATTATTTAAATAGAGTTGTTAACAAGTGGGTTAAACGATAATTTCATATAATTTTAGAGGTTGGAGAGGGTGTCGATGCATATTTTTTAAACTTCAGGGGTGTTAATGTAAAAAAAGCTATTGATCTCCTGTTGGGTCAACCAAAAACTCAGGTTTCAATGCAATTTACTCAAAAAAACACAATATTTATTATTATTATTATTATGTATTAAAAGTAAAATTTTATTTTTTAAAATGCTTTGAAAGAAAAATTTACCTAAGCTTTGTTTGGAACCAATCTTTTTTGGAATGCTAACTGGAAAAGGTTAATCTGAAAATTCTCTCACAAAGCTTCAATATTGCGGTAAAAGATAAAAACCTTTTTATTAATGATTTTATCTGGTTGAAGCAGTCAATCACCTCCAAAATTTGAGGTGGGGATAGTTGTGTTATATACATACCAAAGAGTTGGTAAAACGAGATTTTAAAATCGTGCAAGACAGTCCCAGGAGTTTGGGTAAAAATAAGAAATTAAAAAGCACATCATCCGAGTTAAATATTTGTTGACAAACTAAATGGAGTTGTTGACAAATTAAAAATTACAAAAAGTCGAATAATTAAATGAAGTTATTGATAAGTTTTAAGGTTAAAAGATTGTGAAAAATTGAATAATTAAACAATATTTATCTTATGTAACACGTTGGATTATTTAGCTGTTACGTTCACAGAAGAAATAATCGTAAATGCATTAAAGCAATTAATAAATATTCAAGTACCCAAAAGGGCTAGTTATATCATAGTAATTATGTTAAAGTTAAGTCGTATAGCTTCTTATTTGTTATGACTTGTCCCTTTTATGGCCGATATTGGTGCGTAGACCCCCTTCTTCTATGTTTTTTTTTTTGAGAAAGATGATTAATATATGACTTATTCTATCCCTATATCTAACTCCATTGAGGCTGACACTATAGTTGAGTTTGCACAGAATAGTCTCCTTTTTGTCAAAAACCACAAGGATTAGGATCACCTCTAGTTACATATAGAGATGGCAAAATCTCCATACCCGGTGGGTCCCCGCCCCACCCCGCCTCTGTTATGGTGGGTTTGGGGACCCATTTATGTAAATGGGGAGGGGATAGGAATTGAAACCCCGGTGGGGGGCGGGGGTGGGGCCGGGGGAGGGTAACCCCACCCCTCCCTGTCCCATTTATAATGCATATTTACACTATTATCCTTACATGTTATAAAATATTACTAAATTACATAACTATATATATAATATATTCATTTCTGAAATCCTAGATCTATTCCCTCGCAACATAGTCGTTGTTGAAAGAATGTTATTTGTTTTGATTGATCATGTTGAAAATTTCCAGACGATTCCAAAAAATGTTATATGTGATTTTGCTATAAGTTTAATTGGGTTGAAATAATATGTTTTAAATTGTTATAATTGTGCTGAAACTTTATTAAATTATTAGGTTGAAAAATATTGTAGTTGTGTTGATTTTGTTGAAGGTGAATTGGAATTTTAAAAAAGTTATGCAGGGTGGGGCGGGGACGGGGGAGGGGGTTGAAATTTAAAAAGGTATGGAGGAGGGGATGGGGGTAAAAAATTTGATCGGGGATAGGGATGGGGAATGAGATCCCCATCCCATTGCCATCCCTAGTTGCATAGTGCATCCATTTCCTCCAATTATCACATCAATTAAAAAAATTAGATAACTAATTTTTCACTATTCTTGTATTCTAACTTTAAATATAGGACAATACTTGGGTCCTCCCATGGGAAGATGAACTTTGTCCTCTCAGCTGAAGTGGTCCAATACAATTAAGACACATGTCCAAATTTTAATTTTTTATTATTTATAATGGATACTATCCAACTTCGTACAGGGTTAAACCCAAATTCAATTTTTATTCTTTCCCTGTTTAAAAATTTTAGAATCCCTTAAACCATTTTTTTTTTTTTTCTTCCCCCCTTTCTCTTCCCCCACAAATCTCCATACCCAACCTCAATATGAAATCCTACTCAAATTTTATTTAATATGTAAAATAATATACAGACTAACAGAAACCCATAAGTGACATAAAGTTGCACCAATCAGAATTTGCAATATTCACAAACTTTTAATATTTCTTTTTCATATTTTTCACCAATGAAAAATAAATAAATAAATAAATAACCTTAGCCCTATCAAGTGAAAGTGTTGGGACCTTGGGTGGGATGCAAAAAATATATCTAACTGTGACCAAAAATAGATTTACAAGAAAAGTTAACTCTGACTAAAAAATATATATACGAGAAAAGCTCTATTCAAATATTGGTTAACATCAAATTTTCATATAATATTTTAAGCTCTCATTCCCTATTCAATACTTGATATAGCTCATTCTTTAAATAAATTTAGTAATTTTTCAATTTGGGTATATAAACAATTGTGATTCTTTTGGGAAAAAAAAAAAACCTTTGGGATTAGGTTTAACCTGTAAGAAAATGAATAATGATTATTTTTAAAAAAATTAAAATTTTAAACACGTGTCTAGATTATATTGGGCCCTGGGACCTTAGTAGAAAGGATCACTAGAAGAGTTGGGATTTGACCTCCAGATTCTTATCCTATGATGAGAGAGCAGTTCTTATTAAATTAGTGTTGTATTCCATTCAAT